ACCAGTCTCTCCGGTTATACTGCCAACCAGATGGATATCTAAGGGCAGCTTTACAAAACCAGATAAATATACAAAGATGCATAAACTGGAGGAGTTATGCAATCCACCAACTGCTACACAGTCATCAGTTATTCCAGATCGAGATACTGTTCAATCACAGTCGCATCCAACCAGACAGAGTATAAACCGTGTCAACAGTTTCAACCTTAGTGTCTCTGATAACTCTGATGTATACAGTTTGACGATTGGTTCAAATACGCCTCAGTCACAAAGGCGTGTGGGTAGAAATTTTAACAGAGTTCCACCTAAAGTGCATATATCAAGAAAACATTTATACCAACCGAATGATAATCAACACTTCAGTGATACAAGCAGTTCCATCAATCAGACTGAAAGAAATGAAGATATCTCACTAAGATATTTTCCATCACATAAAAATCTTCAACCAATATACTCGAATACAAATAGATCAAATCAATCTGTTTTAAATCAAGCAGAATTAGTAGGACAAGTCAATCAATCGAAAATCTATTTCCCATCCTCACCCCCACCACCTTCTTCTTCTCTACCAATTCCAGGTACTTCAGTGATGAATCAACCGCCGTTTAGTGTCCCGGTAAATAATTTAGGCCGTAAACAATTAGCTATTACATTGCAACATGAAAGATTACCTTTAACACGGTTGAAAATGGGATCAATAAATGACTTTTTAAACAATAATTTACAATCATCATTTCATATGAACTTAAAATACATTTTATTAAATGATAAAGATTTATTAACATTAAAACATCTCCTGAATTTTATCAAATTTTTTGAAGTTTTCACTTGTGTTTCTGGTTTTGCTTATCTTTTACAAAATATTAAATTGAATATAACAAATTTAATGCCCATCTTACAAATACCTGAAAATACTACTTCACATGAACAATTAAGCAGTACAAATTCTGAGTCAAGTTTAAAGAGAGCAATTGATATCAATAAATTATTGATTAGTTCAAATAAAGCTATTGATCAATCACCTTTGTCAAATCTGATACCATTAAAACCATTATCAAATGAATTATACAATTCTGAGGTAAATACCCCTGAAGCAAACAGAATAACTACATCAGAAGAGACCTATGCATTCAGCAACATCCCAGACGACAGTAATTTAATAATATCTGAAAATCATGCGGGTGTTTTATTAAAATTGAATAATCATCTTAAAATATGGCACTACTACTGGTGTATATTAACACTTAAGGGATTATTTTTGCATCAATATCAACAGACAGGATTTAGTCAGCTGTCATCATTGAATCAACCGAAAAAAGTAATTCTCTTCTCAGATATCCATTATCTTCGTCGTTCAACAAACATGTCTACATCAATTAACCAACTGGGTTGTTCAAATTTAATCAAAATCGACTCGTCCATATCATTATCGTCATCAACAACAGTTACTACTAGAGGAGCTATCAGCCAACGTCCAAATGTAAGTGCACCTGTATCACGAAAATTTATGCATACTGATTCATTTCAAAAGTGTCGTGTTGAAAAGTACTTTGAACTGGTATTACATAACAAGAAAGTCTATCGACTACGTGGTATCGATAGTCAACAAACAATTAAATGGATTAATCTTATCAAAGATATTCAAAGAATTAATGAAGCTGACCGAATTCTCAATGAGAACAGATCACAAATTACTAAAGAAGGCTGGTTGAAACGAATTAAACGAGGTCATGTTTCATGGTTTTGGTGTAAACTAGCAGGCGTCTACCTAATTTATTCCCTGAGTCCTAAAAGTACACTACCTGTCGGTTGCAAAACTTTAAAAGATGCTTATGTTCAAATGATTGGAAATCGGTCAACTATTGCAGTAGAGTCAAATGCAAATAAAAAATCTGACGGATTATTGAAATTGTCAACAGATCAATATGATCCTGGGCAGTTGTTAACATCAAGTTCAGATTCTGATTCGTTGTTGCTCAGTCTAACATATTCCAAGGTGAATCAAGACGAACAACAAACAATAAAAATATGGACACCAGATCATGAACCGGTCTACTTAATTTGTCCTACACTTCAAGAATGCGAACAATGGAGAGATAGTTTGCTTAGAGCTTCAATTTTGCATTCAAATCCTTCCACTTTTATAAGCGGCATACAAAAGTCATCATCAACAGCAAATTTACTTGAAAATATTCAAAAATTATGGAAACATCTTGTCAATCCAATACATTTAAACGGTTTATATCATTCAAATGTATCAATTAAGCAGCCAATATCAAAAACTACTCCAAACGATAATCACTCAGCAATTAGTTTACGTTTATTCGATCATTTATTGTTTCTTTGTCATCCACAAGTTAATTTAATTGACAATTCAAATTCTCAATATATAGAAATACCTATAAGTAGTCTTATCAATTGTTCACAATGGCTGACAATGAAACATTTAATCATGAAACAGATAATTAACTTTTGTTTTAAATATCCATTATTAAAAGATGAATTATACTTACAGTTGATAAAACAAACGATTTTCGCTGGAATCAATACTAAACAAATGTCAAAAGATGCATATCAGTTGTTATTGAAAAGTAAAACCACTCTAAAACACTCTTTGACATCTTTACTTTTATGTACAAAGAATCAGAATTTTTCAGATACGTCATACAGTATTAATAATACTAATAATCAGCAGTTAAAATTTTACGAAAATCTAAAGCAGAATAATCAAAATAGTTATTTTCAAATCGGGGATCAATACAGACAATCACTGAGTGAAGTTTCCTCGCTGCTTTCCTCGCCATCATCAACTGCTAAACTAATTATTTCACAAACAAATTTAAATAGTAATAGCAATAATAAAAGACCAGAGTGTTGGTGGCCGGCTGTTGCTATATGGGAATGCTTGTGTTTATTTTTAACATTTATATTACCGTCTGAACCTGTTATCAAGTGTCTTGAAGGCTTATTCAATTTACACATGAGCTCCGTGCATATTGATTCGACAGGATCAGTTGATAAAATCGAGATACCAGATAAAATGAAATCAGAAAATAATCAGTTGAAAATGAAATTTTTCACAGAAATCTGTGGTTATGCAGCATTTTGTCAGGACACGCTGAATAGAACTAAACGGTATGGTGGGCGAGAGTACTATCCATCAGCTTTAGAAGTATTCACTCTGTCTATACGTAATCCTTATACACATGTTTATCCTTTCTCTTTACCAGTCTACTTACCATTCGGTTCGAATTATGAAGTTGTCAACTTTCATGGTGGGTCAAGTATACACGATCTCCAAGTACAAATCATTGAAAAGCTTCAACTGAATGAATTTGTTTTCAAAAATATTGTTTTATTCGCTATTTACTTATGTTTAGGTCAGTCGGTAGCAGATTGTAAACAAGTTTATTTAAATCCAAGCTGGAAAATATGCGATATCATTTCGGTGTATGAACAATCAACTCTACAGAATTTACAATCAAATCAAAATAATGAGTCGAATCTAATCAGATTGGATCAAATTTCTGTTAAACTTTTGTTTAAAATACAAACATTTACATGGAAATGTATGCGTAATTTAGAATATAAAAAATCTAATATATTTTTATTAAATTTTATTGTGCATCAATTACATGCAGGTGTTGTATCAAGTTTTTATCAAATACCAATGCGTGGTATTGATTTTATTGATTTAATTGCTTATCTTTGTCGGGCTGATTATTATGACTACACGGAGCTACAGAAACGTCATGAACAAATTACATTCAGTCAGTTGTTAGAAAACTACTTACCATTAGAATGGTTGCCGAAAAATCTAACAGATTCACGCCTATTTATTCAAATCAAATTAATAATTTTAGAGCGTTGGACACAAATTTCAAAATATTCGCAACCAACTAAAGAATATGGAACTTCAAATTTAAATAATAAAATTAATAATAAAGATGACTTCAAAAGCAATCATGAAAATCAAATCAATATGGCAACATTTTATGCTTGTTTAGGTTATTTAAAACACTTAAAAAGTTTATTTCCTTATCGATTTAATTGTTCTGCATATATAGCACGAGTGGATAATCTACCGTTAGTTGAAGAAAATCAGTTAATATGGATTGTGCCACAAGATGATAGAATCAATGTACTAACAGGTGGTAATTTATTAAAATTTTCAAATTCACAATTATCCCATCCAGTAATTCAATCAGAATCCAAAAAAATCATTTGTGTAAAATCAATAGCATACAGAAATGTTGTAGCCTATGGTGGTCAACAGAACGGTGTATTTTTTCTTGTCTATTCTGATTTTACCTTAGGTAAAACTCATTGTAAACCAACATCTAAAGATTTCCCTGATCCTGATCTAATATCATCACAGCGTAGAAGTAATTCACTTAAAGGATATAATTATTACCCTTCTTCATCGGCCTCTTCAACATCCCTATCCTTCTGTAAAGGTTATGGGAATTACTCACAGCGAATGCCACCCTCACGCAGTAAAGAGTCAAAGTTATTAAATAAACATCAATGTGTGTCACTGAAAAAACTTAAATTTTTTCTAACTGATATGCATTCAGTAATTGATTTGACTAATGTTCTTACATTTTTAATTAACGCTAGATGCAAATCCTCTACCACGTGACCAAAACAAAAATCAATATGGATACATACGTAAAAATATCCCTTTGTTGACTAGACACAAGTTTACTATGTGTGTATGTATGTGTATATATGTTTATGCTCTGATTTGAGTGAAATCAATAAATGGTGTCGAGTTACCTTGGCAGCTGTTAACTGGTGAACACTAGACAACAGAGATAAGTGGTTTAGAAATTCCACGACTTATTTTCAGTAAAATCTGTGATCCATCTGTACAAAGATTGCTTTTCATTTTCATACACTTTCTACTCTGGCATGTTTATTTTCGTTATTTTCTGTAATTCTGTATGTAACTCAGTGATTCACTTTCATTTCTGTTCCCCTTCTATGCGTGTATCTTGATGTGTGTATGTGTGCGTGAACTTGTTTGCCTGAAGCAGAAAATGAAAAGAGCACCAACCTGTAATTATCTTCTAATAAATAAACTTGTGTGTAAGCATGAAGTGAAGGTGGTCAGTCATTCCAGGCAGGCTTCTCTTAATATAATTATTTCTTTTACGAAATGCTTAGAATTCTTCTTCACCAACAGTCTTTCTCTCGAGCACACACTGATCATGTGTATTCAACTGATTTTAGGCTGCTGTTATTCTGTTGTCTTGATGAAATTTCTCCGTTTTCTTTTTGCTTCTGTTTCGTTTACACTATTCTTGGTTTCGTTTAGTGTTCACCAATTTTCAAGTGTAAATGCTTTCCATTTAAATTTCTAATTTTATTCTTTTTGTGTTATCCCACTGTCCACTTCCCCGCATTCCCGCCTATTGCTAGTAGTCACTGTTATCTTTGTTGTTGTTGTTGTTCATATTATTGATATTTGTATTGCGCAATCTAGGCCTTTTAAAATTATTGCCACTCCCTCTGTATTATGTATCAATGTCTTAGTATTATGTAGAGAATAAAACATGAATAAAAGAACATGAATTTTTTTCGTGTAGCATTGAGTAGATTTCAGTTAGTATGTAGGAAGTTCTACCTTGTAATGAATAGTTGTGCACAACATTTTTAAACTGACCGTGTCTTCAAAAAGTTTTAATCAGTTTTACTCAAAATAATAACAGGACTTAGCATTAGGCGAGAGACACCCATTGCAATCGTATGCATGAGAAAAAATTGTTCGTATAGCCTGTTCTTCTAAGAAAGTTACCATTTACTCATTGCTTTGTTCATTCAATAGATCAGCGAAGCTCTTGACATGTGCTTATTCGTCAGATATAACATTCCTTTTAAAGGTGTTTATTTTTGGTTTGATGTGAATATTGAATTATCTCTAGAATGTTCCTTAGTCTCAGATAAATCAATGGAGGGGAACTGACTCATGTATAACTCCTTCACATCAACCAGTAGTTTTCTGTACAGTGTTTGCTCTGATCTAAACACTAGTTCCCTGTTTCTCTTGTTCGGTACACTGAGCTGGTCAACCGTGTACGAAAAAAGTGATTTAACACAAAGGATGTAATCAGTCAAAGCCATTCAAATTCTAGGTAGCTAATCAGGTGACTGGAAAACTATATACGATGCAAAGGACTTGGTTCGACTTTGAATTTCACAATATGTAGCCTACTTGACACCGTACCATCAAAAATGAAAGTGGCTGGACGACGTACCGCATCGATTAAAACTCACTGTCATGAGCTGATAGTGCTCACAAACTTTTGACTTATGTCCTTTAAAAATATTGTTTATAATACAGTCTAAACCATTGACTAACTGTAGTTTATTGTGACAATTAATCAAACAGTTTCAATGGTCCATTAACACCCTTAAATTTGATATTGAGATTGAACTAATAAATAAGGAAGAAATTTTGACATCAGTTTGTCCCATGATTTTTATGAACCAAAACACAGCAAATATTAAGAATGAAAGGACTTGTTGATATCTTCTGATATCTTTTACCAGAGTCTTCAAAATGCTTTATGAGGTTGAATTCGCCATTATATTGCTGTTATTATTCGTCATTTCAGTTTCGAGTGGAACACGGAACTTCAGCAGCACGCCACCGTTTCATTTGGTTCCTCACACTCTTTTTTTATCTGGCTCTACGATTATCCATAAATTTTGATTTCCTCTTCATACAATCTCCTCAACATATGTTCAGTCCATCTGGATTTCCTTATGTTGGGCAGTAGGCTCTTGATTGGCTTGTAGCCAGATATCCATGTTCCTTGAGCTCCCTGGCCAGTGAACGTAACCGTTAATGGAAATCTGCTGAGCTTATTGTAAATGCCTTTTGTTATGCACTAGCTGCATCTATGAAAAACATAGAAGCACTGGATTGACACCAGTGTTGTAAATTCGGATATTGTTTCCTGCGCTAATTACTGTATTAGTATTAGTAGTAGTAGTAGCAGTAGCAAAAGTGTGAACTGCTTGGATGCGGCTTCAGAATTTAATTAATGCTACATACCGTGGTTGACAAATGAAGGTGATATAGAAAGCTGGGTTTTGACGAAATTCAAATCGTTGGTATTCAAGTGTTGCTTTGTAGGGATATGATTGGCTACAGGATTTCATCATGAGTTGAAATTAGTTAGAGAACCATTGGAAAACCAACAGGGAGTACTGGACAGCTGTTTCGTCCTGGTTTTGGACTCTCCGCCAGTACGCACCCACCGAGATTCGAACCCACGACCTTCTAATTACAAGGCGACCTCGTATACCATTAAGCCACTGGCTGGGGGTCGCACTGTGTCGTGAATTGGCAGAAGTTAGAATTCATGGGCCATTGGATCCGGTCCCAGTGGCTTAATGGTATACGAGCCCGCCTTGTAACCAGAAGGTCCTGGGTTTGAACCCTAGCGTTGGGTGCGTACTGATGAAGAGTCCCAAACTAGGACGAAACAGCTGTCCAGTACTCCCAGGTTTTCCAATGGTTCTCTAACTAATGTCAGCTCATGACGAAATCCTGAAACCAATCAAATCCCTACAAACCAACACTTGAATACCAATGAGATGCTCACTGGCGACTGGCCCTATTCAGGTAGGTAGTTACCTGGGCTCCAGTGGGAAGTCGTGACCAGTAGGGTGCAGCAGGTCGGGTGTGAGGACAAATACTCGCCGAAGGCATTGGCTAGCGGTCGCGCTATGTCGTGAATTGGCAGAAGTTAGAATTCAAGGACCATTGGATCGGGTCCCAGTGGCTTAATGGTATACGAGGTCACCTTGTAACCGGAAGGTCCTGGGTTCGAATCCCGGTGGGTGCGTATTGATGAAGAGTCCCGAACAAGGACGAAACAGCTGTCTAGTACTCCCAGGTTTTCCAATGGTTCTCTAACTTATGTAAACATTCTAATATATGTGTAAAACTTGGGCACTGTGGTAGTAAGTAATTCCATATTAGTTTGTTTATTAGATTTATCACACAGCGAACCAGTATTATTTACTGGATGACGTTTCGAACACAATTAATTGTTCATAATCATATCAATATCAATGAAGTCTGATCACTTCACATACATTCCATCCCATAGTTTCGACGTATACTCTTACATGAAATAGAAACTCAATTGATAGATTAGTACTTAAATACTAGTTTTGTTTCGATCACAGTCATCATTTAAGGTTGCTTACAGTATTAAGGTAAATAAATCAATAAAATTAGGATTTTCAAATTCCTACACCATCTAGACATCAGTGATCTACAAATAAATTTAAGCCAGACCTATGTGCGTGTGTGTTTGTGAGTCTTCGGCATATACAACTTTACAACTAATTATTATTTCACTACTTTGACTTTTATAATTTCGCTTTATGCTTCTCATGCAATTTAATTCATGTCCGGAAAAAAGTGACAATATAAGTAAGAAGAGTAGTATTTGCCATTTTGGTGAAAATTGGATTAAAGTAAGGATGAAGAAGTTGTAGTGAATAAAAGGCAAGAAGACTAGTATTACGAAGGAAATAGATATTAACAAGCATACAACGAAATTATACAAATATGTATACATATCCGTCAAAAATGTATGGAGTAATAGTCACAGTAATAATTAATCAGGTACCGAGATAACTAGGACTAAACAATGAGGGACAGGGTAGACAGATAAGTAACAAGTAGTCTTCTCTTTAAAGATTAACTCAACAAGGAAATTCGATTTCGTTTGTTAAGATCAGTAAGTTGAAATTCCTGTGCATATGAGATAAAGGGTTATATGGTACACTTAAAAGTATTTATAGGGGAAAGAGAAAGCTTCAAGATATAAGAATAAAACTTGTGCACTATGGCGGAGTATAATTCCATTATGGGTAAAATGTATTTCGATAAAGTCTCACAGTGTTATACAGTAATATTTAATGATGACTACGTTTCGTGCACAATTTATTACTACTCATAATCATATCAAGGTACTCACACACACAAGTTGTGTGAGTAATTTTTCACATAAAAGAAAAAGAAAGCTACTAACAGACAGTAATCACACTGAGTATTACTCCATACACAAAACCAGTAGAAAAGGTTTTATATCTGTATTGTTTCAAAGGATTCACAGATATCAACATGTTTTTTAATTATTATTTTTTTATTCCTTTAAGTTCCCAGTGGAATATAGGACTTCAAGCTAGAGCTTTGAAGTTTCGGTAGCAGTGGTGTTTATTTTTAAGGGATGTGGTTGCTAGCCTCATGTTCAGCTTTCCCTCTTTACCAGCCTTATTGCTGGTTTAGCGAGGTAAAGGAGTGAGTCGGCCGGAGATCGAACCCTGAACCACCTTCGTGGTCGGTAAGCATTCTACCGCTGTGCCACCGACGCAAGATACCAATATGAGGTCCCATAGTGACGATATGCCTGATGAATACATTGCTAAGAAAATGATGCTGTAGCCTTTAATAGACTAAATTAAAGTACATTTGTTTCAAGCTCACCTCTTAATTGAAGCCTATAATAACCCTAGAGTTTATAAACTATCAAAACATAATCACTTAGGTTAGATCGCAAAGATAAAAAAATAGCAACACTGGGAAATATCTGAAGATTGCTCATAAAAAGTGTACTTTTTCAATAAAATTATTAAAGTTTCTTCACTTTTAAAATTTAAAAACCATCTGAAAGAAAGACGTTAGTTAATCGGATGGATTTATAACTCTTGGGAGCCTTATGTTCACCCACAAAACTTGAATCTGTGCATGATCATTTGAACTATCTAACTTAAAAAGAAAAGGAAGTGACATTACAGTAGGCTCCCTTATAGTTCTATGGACTTCATTCATTATAATGAAGGGGATTCAGGAAATTGTTGGATATTCTTTGAGTTCTCTATATTTGAATGTGAAGGTTTTATCCACCACTAGACTTGGATTTATCTCAAGTATTCACTTCATCTAGAAAACTTTAGGAAACCCAATCCTGAAATATCCATGATCAAATAACAAATTTCATCTTTATCCTGAGCTACAAAATTACTCGACTTACAACAGAGAAGAACTACACTCAGTGAAAATAATCTTTCACTTACCTTGGTAGTATAGCCTGAACTACACGCAGCACGAATGACGTCATGAAAACCATCCAGGAAGGAGAGACAAAGACATGAGTTCATTATTCTGAAGTCAAAATGACAGCCTGTAAGACTCAAAATAAAGAACAACATCAAAACTTTTAACAGGAGTATCAATTCCATGAGTTCACAGACTTCTCATTATTTTCATAAAAAGCATTTCCAACAGCCTACTTCCTGTCGATACCCAGGATTGAATGGTTGACCAGAAATTCTAAGG